TATGCATCTGTAGGGACATGACCATTTCAGAAGTTAATCTGTAAGAAATTTGTCTACTTGAGATCCTTGCTGTGTGATGATGGAGATAACAGAGGCCTTAAAATTTGGCAGTTTGAGGCTGGGCACAGTGGTTCACACCTGTGATCCCAGCAGGCGTGATTTGGGAGGCCGAGGTGGGTGGATCATGAGGTCAAGAGATCAAGGCCATCCTGGCCAACATGATGAAACCCCATCTCTACTAAAAATACAAAAATTAGCTGGGCGTAGTGGTGGGCAACTGTGTTCCCAGCAACTTGGGAGGCTGAGGCAGGAGAATCACTTGAACCAGGGAGGCAGAGGTTGCAGTGAGCTGAGATTGTGCCACTGTACTCCAGCCTGGCACCAAAGCGAGACTCCTTCTAAAAAAAAAAAAAAAAAAAAGAATTGAGCAGTTTGATATGTCCTGGCTTTGCCATTCCTTTCCTATGTGACTAAGGGTTAGATACTTAGCCCTCTGAACCTCATTTTCCTCTTCATTAAAAGAGATAAAAGTCCTGGCTTCTAAATTATTAGGACAACTACATATGATAAAATGGGTAAAGTGCTTAAAAATGTCAATGTTTCTAATCCTCTTTTATTTTCCTGCACTCAGGGTGGGAATAAATTTATAGAACACATGCAGATGAATAAGCCAGATTCTGGCCTCCATTCCAGGAGAATGCCATTTGGGTGAATTTTGGCTGCAGTGTACAGACATAAATAATTTGGGTCATTCTTATACCCAACAGACCACATGCAGGAGATGCATTCAGGATGCTTTGATCTCATCTGAGGGGTGACTAAGTACAACCCATTCTTAATAAAGCTATTTATAGTGAGAAGCAATTTGGGTCAGGCCTGCCTTTCCAGTCTGCCTCATTGGCAAAGCAGTAGGCCCCTGACTTCTGTCTGTTATGTGTTACTTGTGGTTTCTGTCTGCTCTGACTTTGGGGGTGTGTTGCATTTAGACTAGATGCCAAGGAGATAATATGCTCCAGAGAGCTAAGGAACAGCCTGAATGCCTGGGGAGTTTAGACTGTGACAGTTCAGAAAGTGACTCAATTAGCCAGTGGTTCAGAGCAATGAGAGCCCATGAACGTTTCACCCATTTGAGAGTAGAGACCACTCTGGCCGCTTGAACACTTAGACTATACACCAGTCCCTTGAAAGGTAAAGGCTGGGGCCAGGCGCAATAGCTCACACCTGTAGTCCCAGCATTTTGGGAGGCCAAGGCAGCTGGATTACTCTGAGCTCAGGAGTTTAACACCAGCCTGGGCAACACGGAGAAATCCCATCTCTACTAAAAATATAAAATATTAGCTGAATGTGGCAGCATGTGCCTGTAATCCCAGCTACTAAGGAGGCTGAGGCAGGAGAATCTCTTGAGCCTGGGAGGTGGAAGTTGCAGTGAGTGTGCAGAGACGGCACCACTGCACACTCCAGCCTGGGCAACAGAGTGAGACTCTGGTAAGGGAAGAAAGGGAGGAAGTTAGTTAGTTAGTTACAGGCTAATTCCAGCTCCGTGATTCTTTATGAGAGTCAAGTGGCCAGGGAGGATCTAGTAAGAGAATGAGACCAGGCGATTACACCAATTTTGTGCGCCAAAAAAAAAAATTCTCAAATATTTTAGATTCTGGATTTCAGTCAGCTCAGAACAATAATACAACAATGACAACAGTAATAAGCAGTAGTGAAAAGCACTTATGGGCTGGGTGTAGTGGCTCACACCTGTAATCCCAGCACTTTGGAGGCTGAGGCAGGTGATCACTGGAGGTCAGGAATTTGAGGCCAGCCTGGCCAACATGGTGAAACCCTATGTCTAGTATAAATACAAATATTAGCTGGGCGTGGTGGCATGTGCCTGTATTCTCAGCTACTCAAGAGGCTGAAGTGTGAGAATCGCTAGATCCCTGAAGGCGGAGGCTTCAGTGACCCAAGACGGTGCCACTGCACTGCAGCCTGTGCAACAGAGGAAGACCCCATCTCTAAAAGAAAAAAAAAAAGGAAGAAAAGTACTTATAAATACATGCGTAAATGCTTTCTAATTTACAGAACATTTTCATATAGTGTAAGAAGGCTGATCCTTTCAATTTCCTGGGAGCACCATACTTGGTTAGAGATCATTTGGTGGCATGAAATTCAAACCCACAGCAAGGTAACAGTTGTATGTGTTATAGTCAGATTATACCAGTCCACCTTTCTAAGTCATATAGTCTTGTATCTAAGTGGTGGTTTTCTCCCTAGTCTTGATTGGAGCTAGGGTTTGGTAGTCAATTCTTGCTGCCAAGTTTGCGACATGGCTAGGATTGTGTGAGTTCTGCGGAATCCACATAAAAGGTAATTCCTATTCCCCCTCCTGTAGCCTGCCCTTAAATTTACAAGCACATGTTCATAACATGGAGTCTCTGGATATTGTGACAAAATTGTCACATATCATTAACACAGTTCAATTCTGCAACTTGTGATTGGATCATTTGATTTCATTGCAAACTTTTTTTTTGGCAACTGCATCAGTATCTTCCCAAAATGTATTAGAGTTGCCATTAACAGATGCTTTGATATGGGTCCAGGGAGGCTGTTGACAGATATCTTAAGATGGATCTTACTACATTGACATTGACATATCTGAAGGAAGTCCAATGGGAAATGTCTTCATAGGCCTGGAGGTTGACAGAACAAGATGGAAACCCTTCGAGAAAATTGCCAATAAAGACTGAAAATAGGCATAGCTTTCCCAAGGTAATTTGGCAATATGTATTGAGCCTTAGAAATTCATACCTTTTGACCCTGTATTTGTCTTTTCAAGTTTTAGCTGCTGCTCAGGCATGTGTGCAAAGATTTATGTACAGAGACTTTCATTGCAGCACTAGACATATAATGGTGAAGAACTGGAAATCACCTAAAGTCCTACAATGTGGGGCAGTTTAAATACACAAGTTATATCTGTGCTTACTATGATTTTAAAACTCAGAATAAAGAACTCTAGGGTGGTCTCAGTTTTGTAAAAGGAAAGAAAGACTGAAAGGAAACATTTTCCTTTTTTTTTTTTTTTTTTTTTTGAGACGGAGTTTCGCTCTTGTTACCCAGGTTGGAGTGCAATGGCGCGATCTCGGCTCACCGCAACCTCCGCCTCCTGGGTTCAGGCAATTCTCCTGCCTCAGCCTCCTGAGTAGCTGGGATTACAGGCATGTGCCACTATGCTCAGCTGATTTTTTGTATTTTTAGTAGAGACGGGGTTTCACCATGTTGACCAGGATGGTCTCGATCTCTTGACCTCGTGATCCACCCGCCTTGGCCTCCCAAAGTGCTGGGATTACGGGCGTGAGCCACCGCGCCCGGCGTTCCTTTTTTTCTTTTTTATGAGACAGAGTTTCAGTCTTGTTGCTCAGGCTGGAGTGCAGTGGCATGATCTCAGCTCACCGCAACATCTGCCTCCCGGGTTCAAGCGATTCTCCTGCCTCAGCCACCTAAGTCGCTGGGATTACAGGCATGCTCCATCACGCCTGGCTAATTTTGTATTTTTAGTAGAGACAGGGTTTCTCCATGTTGGTCAGGCTGGTCTCGAACTCCCAACCTCAGGTGATCTGCCGGCCTCGGCCTCCCAAAGTGCTGGGATTACAGGAGTGAGTCACAGCGTCCCCAAGGAAACATTTTCTGAATGTTAGTAGTGACAATCTCTGCTTGATAATATCACAAGTACTTTTTCATTTCACTTTTTGTATTTCCAGTGAACTTCATGTGAGGGTGTTACTTTCATGTCAGAAAAACAAGGCTATTTTAAATTTATGTAAACAAGAATTTATGAAAAATTTTAAATAGAGAAAAGGATCAGCTATAATCTATACAGCTGTTTTAATTGTTATATTTTAGGCTTTCCCTAAGGACATGAAAATTTTTTATATAGTCAGAGAACACCTATTGTTTTGTGTTCTGTACTTTACCATCTAAGTAAAAATAATATACACAAAAAATATGAACCTGGAAAATTGTGTGCATATATATACACATTATAATATAAATATAATATATTAATTTAATTGAAATTTGATAATTAACATATGTAGGTAACTCTCCGAATCTGCTCTCCACAACAGTTTAACTTCTCCTTTTTCTATAACTGAAATACTACTATACCCTTAAAATCAGGGATCTAGAACTAACTGCCTGAATTCAACTAATTTAGCAATTTTTAAAATATACAAAATATTCTTTAAGAACATAGAATTTAAACCTAATCCACTGGAGAGAAAGAATAATGGGTTTAAAAGAACCCAGTGGGTGAAAAACCTATTAAGCCGTGGGAAGCAGCAACAGTAGTGAAAGTATTTCTGAGATAGATGCAAACATGAAATTGAAGATGACAGTATAACATAAGAGGCTGTGGCTAAGCCTTGACTCGATGTCCATAATGACAGTGACCTCAGGAAATGTAGAAGAGTAAACAATGCAGAACCTGCAGTTCTATTTTAATAAGGTCTGCCTCATACAATTCCAGTCAAAACACCACTTACATCCAAATTATTTAAGTACTTCCATGAAATTGCACAGGAAATACGGTATGCAATTACTTGCCAAGGTCAAGAAAACTCATAATCTTGACGAGGGGGGAGGAATAATTGTGCCTCCATTTAGACCAGTAATTCTGAACGGGGGCAATTTTGCCTTTCAAGGAATCTTTGGCAACGTCTGGAGACCTTGTTGGTTGTCACAACTGAGGAATGTTCTGGCATCTAGCAGGAACATTCTACTGTGTGCACAACAGCCTCTGTGGTGGTTAGCATCCAGCGTCACTGTGATTGGATTGAAGGATGCAAAGTATTGTTCCTGGGTGTGTCTGTGAGGGTGTTGACAAAGGAGATTAACATTTGAGTTGGTGGACTGGGAAAGGCAGACTCACCCTCAATCTGTGTGGGCACCATCTAATCAGCTGCCATCATGGCCAGAATAAAAGCAGGCAGAAGAATGTGAAAAGACTAGACCAGCTGAGTCTCCCAGCCTACATCTTTTTTACGTTCTGGATGCTTCCTTCCCTCGAACATCAGACTCCAAGCTTGGGGACTATTGGACCTTTGACCACCAGCTGAAGCCTGCACTGTCAGCTCCCCTACTTTTGAGGTTTTGGAAGTCAGACTGGCTTCCTTGCTCCTCAGCTTACAGCTGGCCTATTGTGAGACCTCATCTTGTGATCGTGTAAGTCAGTACCCCTTAATAAACTCCCTTTGTATATACATCTTGCTATTAGCTCTGTCCCTCTAGAGAACCTAGTCAGTAGTACCAAGGATGAGGAACCTTGGTCTAGACAGTGACATGATCTGGGAAGAAATAACCGAATGTACAACCCCTGCCATTCTGCTCTCTGGTTGGGGTAGTGAAGGTAGGATGTGGCTAGGGGAACTCACTTTTCCAAGCCTCCCGGTACTAGACCCGAGACCAGGTGGAAGAGGATGGCTCCCAACTCCTGATGGCCAACACCTTCCTCATCTCTTTCATAAAGACAAAAAATTCCAATGTCATAACATCTTGATTTCATTGGAATTTGTATAGGCAAAACTCCTGGTTTAGCAGACTCTTTTCCTCTTTCTTTATAGAAGTAGAAAGGAACAAAATACCAGAAGGAAAAGGCTCACTTCAAGAATTTCAAAAAACATGTCGAGTGCGAATTCTACCCAATCTCCTGTTTCCTTTTGTTTTGCTTTTTCTGGACAACGGGAATTGGGGTCCAGAATATTTATCCTGACCCTCAACTATCAGGCAAACATTAAAGAGTAAACTGCTTTTTAAGGCAGGAAACTCAATTCACGCCTTTCAGGGATCTTCAATGGCAAGGGTTGAAGTGAAAAGGATTTTCTACTTAACTCTGAGATAACCTGGAATCTCCCATTCTCTGGGCATTTTGGCTAATTGGAGTTTTCCTGTAGTCTGCATTCTTTAAGATATTCTTGACATTGGCAAGGTTTACAGGAAGGGCTACTGACAGCTTGAAACACTCAGATCCAAATTTCCCTTTCTGCATTTCATTGCCGTAATGTTGGAATGTATTACAAACAAACGGGTAACATTTCTTTGTAATATAACAATTCAACTGGCTGTGTGTGTGTGTGTGTGTGTGTGTGTGTGTGTGTGTGTGTGTGTGTGCATTTAATGTAAAAACATAGAAAACATTCAATGGGTAGAGAAGAGTTAACTGGCCTAAAGAACAGCAGTAGAAGATAAAAATGGTGGTTTTGACTTGCAGCCTGTTTCAGATGGACAGCTCCGCATGGCTGTGTCTGTTTTGGAAAGTTTGACTTAAAACATTTGCGTGATTGTTTTGCTAGGAACGAAACACATTAAGGTAAATGCTTTTGCTTGAATCTCCCTAATCTCATTGTGACAGGTTTGTATCCAGCCTGGTTACAGCCAGGACTAACTCTTCTCTGACATTCTTGCTAATTGGCAGCAGCAGACAGTGTGTGAGATGGAATATGTGAAAGATGGAGAAAGACAAAAATAAAACCAAACTCTAAAACTTCAGCCATCTTTAGTCAAGAAAAATCAGCAGCTTGAGAATGTACACCTACTGAGACAGTGAGAAGGGCTGACTGCGAAGTGTTTCTGTGTCTAAGTATCTTGTGCCCCTCATTTAATTTTCCCTGGCTTTTGTTTCTTCCACCTTTATAAAGTGTTAAAAAATGTTATCCTCTGTTTTTTACTAGAGATAGAAATGCTTAATTTAGAAATTTTAAAAATGCATAAATACCCTTAATAGATCTGGTGCTAGAAGATCATTCTCCCTGTCTGTCTTTCCCTGATGATAGAGAATATCCTGCAGTGTGAGAATAAAAATGGCCAGAGTCAGATGTCATTTAACCAGAGTCTACCCGACAGGATGGTTACAGCACTGTTTTTCTCCTGTTTACACAATGTGGAATAGTGAAAACATCATTAACTTTGATTCTTCTGAGACCTGGGTTTAAAATCTTCTATGGCTTTCTAGCTGTGTGACCTTAACAAAATCAATGTGCTGCTCTGAGACTCGGCTTTCTCACTGGTAAAATGGTTTTGTTATACACACACACACACACACACACATATTTTTTTTTAATTGTACTTTAGGTTCTGGGGTATATGTGCAGATCATGCAGGATTGTTGCATAGGTACATACATGGCAAGGTGGTTTGCTGCCCCCATCCCCCCATCACCTATACCTGACATTTTTCCTCACGTTATCCCTCTTCACCCTCCCTACCCCCTGCTATCCCTCCCCTAGCTCCCCCAGTGTGTGATGCTCCCTTCCCTGTGTCCACATATTCTCATTGTTCAACACCCACCTATGAGTGAGAACATGAAGACTCATACATTTTTTTGAGATGGAGTCTCACTCTTTTCCCCAGGCTGGAATGCAGGGGCAAGATCTCAGCTCACTGCAAACTCTACTTCCCAGGTTCAGTTCAAGCGATTCTCCTGCCTCAGCCTCCTGAGTAGCTGAGATGATAAGGTCCCCACCACCATGCCCAGATAATTTTTTATTTTTTGTAGAGACTGGGTTTCACCATATTGGCCAGGCTGGTCTCGAACTCTTGATCTCAAGTGATCCACCCGCCTCAGCCTCCCAAAGTGCTGGGATTCAGGCGTGAGCCAGTGTACATAGTCTGGTTTTGTAATGACTAGTAGGTAGTGTGTGGTAAGGATTAAAGTAAACAATATACGCAATGCAAATTGTTGGAACTCAATAGATATTAGTCCCATTCCCTGCCCCTCTAAGATATAACACAACACAACACCTCCCAATCACATAATACACAGTCATTTATTGTTGCTACCGTTGAGTGATTTGTTGAATACTTTTTGAAAAAAGAGTAACAAGTATTAGAAACCAAACCAATAGTAAAGATTTAAATCAAACAAAGGCAACCTCTGTAGCAAAGTCTGGGGTGAATTTATGACAGGTATGATTCATTGTCTTCAGTTTTCTATGCACAAAGGAAATGAGAACTGGCAGTTCTTCAGGATGACCCTTGCATTCTGCAAGGTCCTCAATCATCTCTGCAAAGGGACATTGTGTTCCTTTTTGGCTAGGGCTCTTTGGTTGCAAGTAACATAAGCTGCCTCAAGCTGGCTTGCATATGGATTTGGAGGGGTGTGTGTGTGTGTGTGTGTGTGTGTGTGTGTGTGTGTGTGTGTGCGCGCGCACATACACAAGCCCACGTGCCTGTGTGTGGTGAAGGGGTATTTCAAAGTGTCTTATGGAGCCAAAACTTACAGAAACTTCTCACTGTGTATCTTTTTCATTTTTACTTTCTTTTACACTGGCTTTTGCTTCATGTCCCAAATGACAGAAAAACTGCTACCCCACAATTCTAGAGGTTATGTTGTAGACCCAAGCACATGAAGAGACTGATACAACCGGAACTGTCCCCATTTGAAATTCGCAGAGAAAGAAGCTGACTGGCTCAGCTAAGGTCTGCTGTACACCTCAGCTCCAATCATCTATGGCTAGAAAGACAGCATTGTACAAACACAGCTAAGGAGGCTTACTCCTAAGATCCTGAGGATGGAAATAAAGGAGGAGTTTCAAAGGGTGGGGAAAGGCAAGTGTCATTAGATATGACATGCCAAAGGTGTCGCTCTAGTTTAAATAGCAGGGGGGAAAATGAACTAATGTGTTTTAGAATAATTTTCAGCAGCTGGAGTCACAAAAACCAAAAGGTTTTGACTCAGCATGGTGGCTCCTACCTGTAATTGCAACACTTTGGAAGGCCGAGGTGGGAGAATCGCTTGAGCCCAGGTGTTTGAGACCAGCCTGGGCAACATAATGAGATCCCGTCTCTACAAAAATAAAAATAAAAACATATTAGCCAGGCATGGTGGTGCATGCCTGAAGTCCCAGCTACTCAGGAGGCTGAGGCAGGAGGATCTCCTGAGCCCAGGAGTTGGAAGTTGCAGTGAGCTATTATTGCCCCACTAAACCCCAATCTGGGCAGCAGAACAACATTCTGCCTCTTAAAATAGGAAAGTAAATAAAAAGATTTTTTAAATACATACCATAGTTAAGCCAAAAAATTCAATTAGACCAAACTTATTTTGCCCTGCATCTCAATTGTAGCAGACACAGATGCTTGCCTACCTAACAGCCTATGTTCTCTTTCCTTCTAAGTTGACAGGACTGCACATTTATTTGGGTGTCTGCTCCACCATCTTATCAGTCGTAGAAAGATAACCTTCATCCCTGTGTTTAGATGTAAATTAGCCTAATAGGTTAATAGATTATAATCTATTAGATTGATCTAATAGAATGTGATCTAATGGATTGTGATCACAGTCTAATAGATTGTGATCCTATTGGATGTCTTCTGATTAGATTAGACATAGGCAAGGGATACAATTCTAGCCACTAAAACCCAATAGACAGTCTGCTGATAGGCCTTTTGCAAAGATTTTTTTTTTTTTTTTTTAATTCTCAGTGATGAAAAACTCATAGGAACACTCCTTCTTTAGATACTTTTAGATCTAGCTGGGATGCGTGGAACTGTGGCAGCCATTTTATGCCCACGAGGGGACCTAGCGTGAGAATGGAAGAACCGAAAGATCGAAAGAACTTGGGGTCCTTGATGACATCACTGAGTCACTGGATTAACCCACCTTGGACTACTTTACTTCTGAGATTCTTGTTATTTGATAAAAGAAGTGTTCTTATAGTTTAAGCCAGTTGAATTCATTTTTAATTTTTAGTTACTTGAATCCCCAAACATGCTAAATGATATACCTCCAAATTAATACAAATCACAAACCACAAATAAGACATGCTTTAATGAGAGCTGACTTGATAGCATGGAGAACAATTCTGCAAATTCTTAGGAGAAGCTGTCCCTTAGGCAGCATTGGTATTGGTAGCCAAGAGATCATAAATCATTTCGAATGCTCCCAGAGCTTATCAATATACAGCATTTTGCAAGCACAGCAACATTATTTTTTTATATTTATAAAAAAAGCACCTCAAAGGAATTATCTGTTTAAAGTAGCTTTTTTTATACTTCAAAATCCTTTGCTCCTTTAGACAGAGAGTTGGACAAGTTTAAAGTGGTTTTATCGTGCGTTTCGCTTGCTCGAGTTTGAGAGGCTGTGTTTTCATGACAAGTCTGTCCCAGCACTGGGTGCCTGGGATGCTTTGATGTGGGCTATGTTTGGACAGCCTAATACTTGGGGGAAA